ATCTGGTCTGAAACATGATCATCACTGCCCCGTCTCAGGTTCTAGAGCATCTGGTCTGAAACATGATCATCACTGCCCCATCTCAGGTGCTAGGGTATCTGGTCTGAAAGCCTTAAATGACTCAGAGGTACCTGTTGAGCTGAACCTCCTGTCGTGGTTGTGGCCGAGCAGCTGGTGCTCAGTTTCAGTTTGCACTCTGGATGAGCGACTGCGCGGCAGTTTCTGCACTTCACCGCCATCTTCCCAAAGCGCATCCTCTTCCCGCACGGTAAGCACACCTCTGGCCGGATCACCTGGAGAGAGGCAGATAAACGGACTGGAGGTTGAAGTCGGCCAGGAATTAAGAGTCAAGCCGTCGACCAGCTGTAACCTTGGCAACCCTAACCCATGTAAATTACCTTTATACATAAACATTACAATTCCTAACCAGTCCCTTTATAAACATTCCTGATTCATGATGCTTTTCATTGGTTACTTCTGAATCACAGATAAACACTGTGGAATAAGCAGACATTCAGGATTCACATTTGACTCGTTGAAACATTTATGTATAAAACTAATCTATTGTTCAGTCAAATGAAAGGTCTGTACTTGACAGACATTAATGTACCGTCACACATCTTTATATGTGAACCAGTGTAGCTATGTGCGTTCATACAGTTTTAGTAAGGAAAACATGCGTCTCGGTTTTCTCAGCTCTGCAGGTGGATGATACTCTGACGGCAGCACTCTTCTCCATCTTTGATTGAATTTCAGGCTCCAGAGCCATCTCCTCACAGGGAAGCCACACGGAGGTTTGGTCTGATGAACAAACACATTATCACAGAAGATGAGAAATCTCTTCAAAAGGGTTTGTGATCATCTAATTCAGTTACTCGCTGAGCTTTAATCAGCAAATACAGTATGTATATGATAAGGTAGCAAATACTAATTATTCATAAAATACTCGACAGCATTCATGACAGAAGGCAGTACAGGTTTCAAACTGGGACCTACTTTGAGATGATGAAGGTGGACTGCAGTATAAACATGAAACCTTATGTATATTTGGGCTTTTATTAAAGTACTAATATTGCTACTGAATTAAAGGAAACTTGACTAGTGACATTATTTGGACTGCTATTGCAGCGTCTCATGCTCGGTAACATTTAGTGCACATGGACAGAACAAGGCAGCGCGGGGAGAAGAAACTAAAAGAACCAGAAACCAAGAGGAAGAGGCTGCAGAGACGAGATTTAAAAAAAGACCTCGATCTTCACCCCAAACACTGAGCACCAAGAGTCAGTGTGTTAAAATCACCTCCTCCCACTGAGCCGTCACACTCCTGGGTACAGGCCTGGTTTTTGGGGGGTTCTTGTGTGATTCCCATCACCATGGCAATCTGACCTCCAGTCTCAGGGGTCCTCAGCAGCTCCTTCACCAACGTGTTGACCCCCTGAGTTACACAAAGTCAACTTTAGTCTTCCACTGCTCCAAGTTAAAACAGAAAGCAGGACGAGTTGTTTCAGTCTAAACAGGAAGGAACCATGTCTCTGTTAATACTTTGCATTCTGGGATGTGGAGTTAGAAAACAAGGCCCAGTCCCAGTGTCCCTCCGAGACCTGAAGCCTCAAGGACTCACCGAGGTCACCTGGTGGTTAGGGTTAGGGTTGAGTGTGTGACAGACGTTAGGGCTTTAAGTGGTGTAAATATGAATGGGACATATCACGTTACCATGACAACGACAAAAAACTGAGTATTTATTTTATACTTCCCGATTTGAATGTCTTCAGACTCTTTCCTCACAAGATGAGATGTAATTCATATCATCTATTTACTCGTTTATGTCAAAACAGCTTCAATGACAAAATCAAATATTTGATGAATAAATAAATATCTTCTGATGTCATGTTCCAATGTTCCATCTTTAACCCTTAATGTTTCTGAGTAAATATTAATAAGACAGGCTGAACACACGTGAGCCGTCCTTTGTTTACATCTCCATGCGTCCACTGGTTACCCCGTGTTTAACGTCACATTGCAATGATTTGTGGGTAATTCCCTTAGGCTAAGTATGTATTTAATGCTGACTTCATCAAAGGGTTCATAAAGGGCTCAGGACGTCTGCCAGAGACTCAAACACTCGACGATTTGATAGTGAGAACTAAAACCTCACGGCCTCAAAGTCTGAGAGTCCGTGAGGGTGGAGATTGGGATTGGAAGTCTTTAAACACATTCTCACAGCAGCTTGGTCCTGAGCTTCAAACTGACGCTCTACATCCCCCTCTAGCATCAGTGAGGACGTGTTACTAGAAGCTCGTTACATTAATTAACTCCCGTGACTAGCAGGTGACAAAAGAGTGATGTGAACAAATGTCAACGTTTACTTTTCTAGAGACAGGAACAGAGGTCTCCTGGCTGAAAGTCCAGTGTTTGACCCCCCCTTCTGGACTATCTCACTTTATAGGACATCAGCTGCTGCTCTGAGAGGTTGCTATAGATGGGGGGGGGGGGGGGGGGGGGGGGGGGGGTTTTTTTTTTTTTTTTTTGTTTTTTAAAAAATATCAAAACCTCTCCGATCCAAAA